TTCCCTTGGCTTTCCAGTTGCTAAACTATGGTTCCCTAAAATATCAGAATATTGAATTACAACTTTTAAAAATATTCTTTTTAAAGGGGAGAGAAGGTTGAGGAAAAGGGAAAGCTTGTGGCTGATATCACAGATCACAAGGTGGGTCCACGTTTTGTCTGAATGGCACTCGGCTGCTTAGAGTCAAAGTTTTAGGGCACTGTTGAGCAGAGAGTAAGTCAGGACTTATCCGGGACACGCCTGCAGGGACTCAGGCCCCGGCCAGTCACAGAGGCGCCTTAATTTCCAGGCACACTTAGCCCCCAGCTTCAAGGCTCGGCAGCTTCCTCTTTCCCGGCACCAAACCTTGATGTGAGGGATGCAAAGACACATTCATGAGAATCATGGGTTTGTTCTCACTCAAAATCTGGGGAACTGGCTGAAAAAAATAGATCAAGATCTTATACCTAAGCAAAAGGGATTTGGTATTAACCATGAATTACATCAACATGTAAAATAAAGTGATGTAGCACTGCAGGGCATGCAATTTAAAATGAAAACTAAATTATAAGGGTAACCAAATAGTTTTTATATCGGTAAAGAAAAGAATATGAGTGCATTGATTGTCTATGTAGAGGCATTTATAAATCTGTCGGTACTGGTTAGACATAAACACTGAAAACATGGGATCGCATGAGTCTCCTTATGTGGACCATGCAGAGTCACGGAGGTTGTGCAGGTGAGGGCGTGGATCTAAGTGAGAACTGCTGGGGTGGTCTTGATGCTACACAGGGGGTGTGCTTATCAGCTTCGTCAGAGACTGTTCCCATCACACGGATGAGCTGCAGCAAACCCCAAATCCTTTGAATGGTTTAATTTTGTCGTTTTTTTAAAGACACCATCAGGCTTGGTGAACAAGAAGGGTTAGAAGAAAGCACTTCTATTTTTCAACTTTTTTGTTTTTGAGTGATGAGGTAAATGAAGTTAGTTCTTCCTTGGACAGAGACCCTTCCTTCCACCCTTTATCCTCTTTTGACCATTGCAAAATAACTCTGTCCAAGGAAAGGGGAGAAGACAAATGAGTGAAATAATGCCAGAGTCAGCCATTGCCAGAAAAACACACCCTGATAGAGTTACTTTCTTCTATGCTTTCCAATGAACTAATTTTAAGAAGCTGTAACTGAAAATAGCCTCATCAGCTTTAAAGTTAATGTCTGATGAATGTTAGGATCTTCAGCGAAGGGAATGGGGACCCTAAAGAGGTGGTGATGTCTGCTTAAGATCACCCTGTTAAACAAATACATGGCTGCTGTGCATTTTCAAACAGGGTCCAGCCCCTCTGAGAAGCTGAATGGGGGTATGAGAGGAGAGAACAATCCAGATATTCTGGAAGTAGAAAACATTTCACAAATCCCAGATTTGTGTCCACTCAATTTGCAGATGACAAAACATTCATACCATTAGGTCTTGGTGGGACAGAGATGCTCTCCTAGCTCCGGTGGAATTAATTAGAACAGCATGCAGTTTGCACTGTTGCCGGCTCCCTCACCAAAGGCTCCATGCACATTAACCAGAATGGTCCAAGCAGCTGAGAAGCTGAGACAAAAATGACTCCATCACCTCTCGGTTTTCTCACCCTTTATCTTGGGATGGAAAGATTACTAGGAATCTTTACTAGTAATAACAATACTCTAAAAAAAGGCCGGACACTCATGGTTTCCATCCTGCTGCAAGGGCTTCAATTACCTTTAAGTAGGGTAAAAGTATATCTGCTCTTAAAAGTCAAGATCCTAACTTGCTAACAAAGTTGTGATGTATCCAGAGGAAAACCATGTACAGATACAAATTGAATGGCAAAATCTCTTCCCTATAAAAGTTCAGGTACTGCCTTTGCAATATTAAAATCCAAAGGGAGGTGGTGTGACACTTCTGCTCTGTCTTGTCACATTATGAGTTTCTGATTTCAGATAAAAGAGGAGAAAGGTCCCTTAAGAAAGCAAAGAACTTGAAAAAAATCATCAAACTTCCTTCTGGAAAAGCTAAGGTTTTCCTGGAGATGATGGATAATGGCATTTTAGCTTTTTTAGTTTTTAATAGACAAAATGGAGGCAAATCACAGAAGAAAAGAGAATATATAAATAAGTAGAACAAGGTGACATTTCAATAAGAGCTTTCTTCATTTTTTTCCTCTCTCTTGCTCTCTCTTTTTGAAATCTTAAACCCTATTTCTGGCTTGCATTTGGTAGGATTCCTGCTCTGGCTTTTATTGAAAACAGACTTTATGTGGTCAGAATTCTCCATCTAAAGCTGAACTTTAATAAGCATAAGGATCCTGATGGAGTCTTTCTTGCTGTCTCTCAGGTGACACCCTTGCCAAAGGGATTTCCCTCCCCGTGTGCTGAATTGGCACCGAAACTTGAAGGCTCAGCATAAAGCAACCAGCTTTCCTTTTGCACTCTGTACTTTCATTTCTGTTTCAAATTTGGGACTCTTTGCAAGGCTGATTGAAGTAGGTCTTGTTCTAACTTGAGACTTTTCTAGAAATTCTGAACTGTACAACTGTCGACCTACAAATCCAAACATTTTCCTTCAACCTGCCATCCAGCATGGGCTGCTGCTTCCTGCCAGACTACCTACTGCTGCATGTGAGCTGGAAAACACTAAGGGCAACTCCACCCTGCTTAAATAATCAATTTAGTATTCAAAAGCTGATTTTTCTTGAAAAGTATTGACAAGCTAGTTTATCTGAAATCAAAAGGTAAAGCAGTCAAGCGAGCAGGCAGGACATGCATGTTCACCCCCAGACATTACCACCGGGTTTCTCTGGTTCCTTCTCATAGCTAAACAGACAAAACAACGGATTTCCAGGTTCCTTTTGAGACTTCTGCCTTCCCACTCTCAAAACCTCTTCTCCCAGTGGCCTCCATGCCTTCCTGGCACAACAGGCACAACAGCAGACACTTTGCTAGGGAATGTGAGGTTTTCTAAAACAACAAACTTGATCTTTCTGAAAGCTTTTTTTTTCTTTCTTTTTTGTTTTTAACCATGGAAGGGAAGTTCTTTTGAATAATGTAGCTTACTGGTTCTAAAGTGGAGAGAGATTTTACTCTCCTGAGGGACAGTGGCAAGTCTAAAGTGATTTTCAGTGGTCATAACTGGGAGAGTGTGACCGACATCTAATGGGCAGAGGCCAGGGATGCTGCTAAACATCTCACAATGCACAGCGCAGTCATCCACAGGAAAACTCAGCAGCAATGAGGCTGAGCACACGTCTCATGGGTGAGAGGCTGGGCTCTGTAGGCAGACTGTTTGGGATTAAAGCTCAGTTCCACTAGGGCCTGCTTGACTGGCCTTGGGAAAGTGGTTTGACCTCGGTGCCTGTCTGTTAAAAGTGAGTAATACCATATCTTATTGGGTTGTTTTGAAATTTTAAGCAAAATGTACATTCAAAGCTTTGAAGAGAATGCCTAACACATACTGAGAGCACAATGAATGTTTAACTATTCCTCCTATGGTTTTATTACTAGAAATTTAGCTCAGGCCCATATAAATTTTGCTCAGGTCCAAATAAATTATAAGCCAAGTTAATTGAATTTAGAGGCAGAAGAAAAAAAATATATAGATAGATAGATATTCTCAGTCCTCTTGGATCAGGACCAAAATGGTGGTAACAACCACGGTCCTTACAGTTTACCAAACTCTTTCAAATACTTCCTTCACAGGTTCTGAGCAAAACCCCTGTTGTTGTTGTTGCTGCTGTTGTTGTTGTTTCCTGTGTCACAGAGGAAGAATTCTGGTCTCAGAGTTAAATGAGTTGCTCAGGCTCGAGGGCAACCCAGATCTCTTTTTCGTTTGTTTTGTTTTGTTTTGTTCTGTTTTGTGGCACTGGGATGGGGATTGAACTCAGGACCTTGTGCTTTCCAGGCAGGCGTGGCACCACTGAGCTAAATCCCTGGCCCCTCAACCCAGATCTTTCTATGGCAAAGCCCCTGCTACTTCTCGAACACCTTCTGTCTTCTAGTCTATGATCTCCTTCCTTTCGTCATTACCCCCAGCATCCAAAAATGTAAGCGCCACAATCAGAAGGTGAGATGACTTCACCTTCACGGGTGGGGCCAAGCCACTTTTGTCTTTTTGCACACATGTCATCCAGTTTTCTTTCATGGAGCATGTGAATATTCTAATTCTCTGAATTAAAAAAACGTTAGGTAGGGGCTAATATTCTTTCCTTTTGAAATTTCTAATTTTGGGGAAGAAGAACCTGGAATACCTTACCCTTTAAAAATCTAAGATTATACTTATTATACCTATTTTGATTGCAAATTGTCTGGAGATGAGGACACAGCTCCAGCTTTTTTATGTTTGAAGTTCCTTTATTCATCAGCTGAACTGGTTAGTCCTGAAAATTTGCTTATTATTGTTAAAACATATGAAACAGAATGTAGAATATTCAGTTTTGTATACGGCTAGTGACTAAGCCATCATGTCTATGTTAAAATTACTACGTGTAGTTTAAAAAATTATAGATTACTCAGGTAGATTCTACTAAGTTTACATTCGAGTTAATGATATTTGTGTGTAAGACTCATAATGCAGAGGGCAGAGAGATGAAATTCCTCAGGTCAGGGGTTTTCTACAATGCCTTTGGCAATGGAGAGGACAGGGTCTCGGCCCATGAAGCGCTCAGGATCTATGGAGCACACAGCTTATCCCAGTCCAGCCGCAAAGCCCTCAGTCAGGTGCAACCAGTAGCTGCCAAAATGTCATTCACTGAGACCCAGTTTTCTTTGGTCCCATTTAGTTTGTGCCAGCTGATAAACAACAGGGTTTGATGACCAAAAAGTAGATCTTAAATGATACAATAAACTCAGCAATTTTTCTGTGCAACCCACCCAGCAGGGTGAAAACTGCTAATGTGCATGGTAAGATGTTTGTGATTTCCTTTTTCCAATACATTTTGTCTGTCCTACCATGAGAAGAAAGCCAAGGAGCCTCTTTACCCACGCTTGCTCACACCTTACCTTGGGACACTGGGTGGGGCCCGTGTGGGCCGAGATGGGACCTGCGGAGGGGCTCCGAAGGAGTCACTGCTGTTGGGAAAAGGAGGTAATGGTCCTGGACGAAATGGGACTGGGGGAGCCCCTGAGTGGGGGCCTGGAGATGGAATGGCGGGAGCTGGTCCTCGGCCCGACGTGGGTCTTGTGAGGGGAGCACTTAGTGTCGGCCTCCTCTGGGTTGTGGGGCTCGGAGGCGGTGACCTGAAGAAAAAGACAATTAGTCATTTACTCACCCTAGTTTCTCTCCAAATTAACCTTCTAAAAAAGTCTCATAATTTTCTGACTGTTTTTCAAAAATATTTTTGACTGTGTAATTCAGAGACATTTTATGAAAATCAGAAGTTATAAAAAAATAAACGGTAAAAAGTAAGTTTCCCTCCCCTTCTTCTTCTATTGTATGCAGACCACAAGCAGTAGTTTCTGGTGTGTTCTTTTTAATTACACTGTACATCTGGACAAGTGTATACCTTCAGTCTACATGTAAATTGCTGTTTTGCACATCATAGAATACAATACAATGTTCTACAACTTCCTTTTTATAAAACTTCATTATTAACTTGATGAACCTTTCATTTGGGGACTTAATAAACTGTCATGTCCTTTTTAATGGCCGTGTACAATTCTATTGGAAGTATGCACTGTGCTTGTTTTTTCTTTGTTTGGTTTTTTAAAAATTTTGGTACCGGGGATCGAACTTGGGACCTTGTGCTTACGGGGCAGGCGGTGGCACCACTGAGCTAAATCCCTGGCCCGACTGTGCTTAGTTTTGATGGGAGTTGGTATAATCCACCCCACTCGTCCCCCCAGCTCAACTTGAATAGATTTCTCCCTTTTTTTTCTTTAGGTTCATAATGGGTTTGGGAAAGTGTGCTCAGAAAAGGATACCAGCAAGCACAGGACACTCGGGATGCTGTGAGGCCATGTCACTACCTGCGAGAGTGCTGGATCCAGGAGTCATCCACTGGAGGTGGTGCTGGGGTGGACACAGTAGCTGTGTTGATGTCACCAATGATCACTAGGGCTTCTTTCAGGGCTTGGTACATTCGAAGCATCTCGTCTCGGCGCTGAGCCTGCTCAGCAGATTCCTCCATCAGAGTATTCTGGTCCTCTGAAGAATACAGCTGTGCTAGGAGCTCTGAATTTATGAAGTCTTTAACCTGTCACATCACCACAGAAAAATACAAAAGGGGATAGGTGAGTGGCTGAAGGGTGGGAACATGGCTGTGGCATCTAGAGTCTGTGAACAAAGTCTATGCTGTCCACTCCGGGGGAAAGGAATCGCCATGCAGCTGCTTACTCTTAGTTCAGTCATTATCCTCACTATCTTTAGTGCTGGTGCAAGTAGTGGTTTTCCCTCTGTTTTCTGTCTGTCAACACAGAAGGACAACAAAAATGAGTGAAAGCGAGGCGAGACCATGTACCACCAAAACAGGGCCTGTCGGCAGTGCAAATGTCCCCATAGTGTGGCCTGGGGCTGCCTGGAGTACGGGAAAGGGAAGGAACCATGAGGTGAGAGCGATATTTTCAGTTTCTTTATGGTGACATAAAGAAACTTGTGCAGTAACACATGTTTTGCATCCCTGGGGATTCTTGGTTCTTTAGATAGAGTTTACCAAAATCACTGGAAAACTGTAAGACTCCTAGTTTTAATGTTGTCTTAAAAGTAGAAGTAGCAGCCATAAATAGACATTTATTAAATATAGAATCTCTCTCTCTCTCTCTATATATATATGTGGACATTGATTTATAAAAAAGTTGATTTATCAAAAAAGTGAAAGATGTAACAGACTGTTACCTGAGAGAGCGAAACATTATCTAGAGTCAGTTAATATTTCCAAGAAAGGCCAAAACCCAGTGTTTTGTTTTAAATCCAGATAGACAACAGAAGATTTGTGTTGTAGTTAAATTTGTAACTCAGAGATGATAAGAGTCTAAAGCACATAGTTTTATTATTTTTTAAAAGTATCAAAACATGTAAATAATTCTAATTAAAATTTTGTCTAACTTCATAGCATCATGGTGGCAAAATAAAAAGTGTTCCTGCATGGTTTTTGTATTTGGTAAGCCAAGAGAGATTCAAATGTGGAAGCGATCTAATACACACTGTGTCTCCATGGAACTCTCTGGTGGGGTAGAAGGTTTCTGATAGTTATGATAGTTGTGGAAGGTCAATTTGGCAGAATGTAGAGGCCTTGAATGCTAAGGAAGTTTTGAACTTTATACACTTGACAATGGGGAGCAGTGAAAAAGTTTTTAAGCAAGTAAATGAAATAATTAAAGAGCATTTTTAGGAAAATTAGTCTGGATGACACTGAAAAAAATTAGCAAGGGTAGGAGAAAAGTTCATTAGGAGGCTATTACACGTAATTCATGAGATTTAGGAGTAATTCAGTGGAATAGAAAAGGTGTGTACATGTAAATGACATTATAAAGGAAGAATTAACTGGACTGGGTGCTATTTGTACATGAAGGGAAAAGAAGAAAGGAACAAAGTTAACACAAGTATTGACATTTGGCTGAATGGAAGAATAGAAATCAAATGTCACAAAAGAAAGACACATTTAAAGGAAAGGCAGAATAAAATAAAAATATTTTATTACCCTGATTGAAGATTTATTCACTTCTAAATACACTTGCTGGTGCCCAAGAGCCACGGACATTCACACTAACCTTACACCCTTGGGTGTGTGCATGCATTTGGAAACACAGTGCAACTTAAGACTCAAAACCAGGCAATTTTCCTGGCATTGATCAACAGTTGAGTTAGCTCTTTTGAAGCTTTACATCTTGCTGGAGTATAGCTTAGGATCTATTAAATACAATTTAAAAGAAGATTCTTCCAGGAATAGATTTAAAGCGATCTGAATTGAGAATCAATTGTCAAACCACGAAATAAAAAGGTAAAGGGCTATTTCAGCATTCTGATCAAAGACCTGCCTTGAATCTTCCACATCTAAATGTTATACATTAAAACTAGCCTACTGCCCCATATCTCTGGCAATGTTCTGAAATAATATGGTGGTAACAGCATGAAAGAAAATGCCAATACCTCACATGGGTAAAGAACATAGTTTTTGGAATGAGACAGACCTGAGTTTGCATCCTAGCTCTGATACTTATCTTTGAGGCTCAGGTTCTTTATCTGTAAAAGAGGGATAATGCTAGTAGCTTCCTTAAGCATTGTGAGGGTTAAGAATGAATATGAGGTGCCTAGCATACAGTTAGGGCTCAATAAACAAAAGCTGTTTTTTCTTTAATAGACTAAGTCAATATAGGTATATAGAAGCAGAACAACAGAGCTACTGCAATCATGCAGCTATCAAGTGATGTAGTTAAATATAGAGTTAAGATTTTATTTTGCATTCAAACAAAATTTTAGAAAGGCTCTCTCCTGCTAGCCTCTGATGATATGGCTGGAGCTGGAAATAAAGATAGGGTGGGGGCCCTTGGGGGGTTTCCAGACGCTTCAGTGACGATCTGAGCAGTTTGTGTGTCACTGTTACAAGTCCTTAAGTCAAGGATTCTGCAAGACAGAGGTCACCTTGTAGGTGATAGCATTTAGAAAATATCTCACAGAACATAATAAACTAATTGTACTTGGATGTGAGATTTGAAACAATATCTGTGCTTTTAATTATAACACTTTATAACTGCTACATCTTTGTATGGTTTGCAAAAATTCTCACATAGGAAACCTTGTTCCAGCTCAAACTCTCCAGGCAAGATAAACAGGCATTACTGCACCATGTCACACTGCTCAGTGTAAAGGAATGTGAGGTCATTAAAAACGCTCCACATGTTTTCCTTTTTCTTGCTTTAACCCTTCTCTAGCAACCTATAATATGTTTGGATCTTAAACCTTCTTTGTTATGACTGAGATCATTTTAATGGCTTTACCAACAGAAGAGACATTTTGAGGATTTTTGTGTAGTTCAGTTGCCAGGGAGACCATTTTCTTAAAAATCTCTTTGTTTCTAGATGAGAGTTGCTTATGGAACACAGTGATCTCTCTATTCACATGACACATAGACACATTCCGCTCAGAAGTTTAATGTTAGTTTTAGGGGTAGGGTCCTGGTGGGAATTTTAGATCTAACAATTTTCCTGTATCTCCTTAAGGCTTCTGTTTTTTCCTTCGGGATTTAGTTCTGCTAATGACTGAGGAAAGTTTTCCCTCTTCAAAAAGTAACCTCCATCTACTTACAAACATAATGTTGGGCAAAAAAAGTTAGACATGAAAAAAACATACTCTATGATTCCAAAGTTCACAAACAGGTAAAACCAACCCCTGGGCTAAGAAATCAATCAGAGTACTGTTGTGTTTGGGGGAGTTTTGCAGGACGGGGAGTGAGGACCTGGGGGTCTTGGTCGTAATCTTTTTCTTAAGCAGAGAGCTGAATTCTTGGGCTGTGGAAACAGATCAATAGTCCAAATACTAGAATAAAGTTCTGGTATTTAAGATGCATTTTCCACTCGAATAATGAGCATTTAAAAGAACACTTTACTTCATACACATTAAAGCTACAGTAAGTTTTGAAGCTAGGGCACCTGTTACCAATTTTCCACCCAAGTGCCGATGCCCCTGGAGAGAGAATGTGGACCTCCAGGGGTCGGGGGCACTGGGGCACGGGCTGCTGCTTGCCCGCATTCTGAGTGTGAAATGCCTCCAGGTTTCATATCTGCTCTTTAAAAAGAATCCATAAAAGCCTTTACATTTGATTCTGTATCCTCTGGGTTTGAATAGGAGACACAATGCTTTCAATTTAAAACACTGTTTCTCCTATTCAAACAAACCCTAATAAGATCTTCAAGTAGAATTAATCCTCTGGGAAGATAACACTGTAGCTATATCCTATGTGGGTGGGAGAACACCCTTATAGTCTGTAAGGCTGAACTTAGTGTCCCCAACCCTGCCATATGCATTAGCAAGTGCTGACAGGGAGAGGGCATCAGAATGAGAGTGAGCAGACCTGGACCTCAGTATGGACTCTGCCACACCCAGCTGTGTAGTCTTCGGCAAGTCACTTAACCTCTCAGAGCCCCAGAGTCTTCATTTATAAGCTGGGGAAAATAACAGGTATCCAATGGGGTAGGTGTCAGAGGGATTCAAACATAATGACTTGCCACTTTGCCACCTCCTCTGGTGGGGCAAGCTGCAGAGGCAGGGCCCTCAAAATAGGCTTGGGCAGGGTGCTTTGTGTGTGCTAGCCTGAAGGTCCTGACAAAACTCTGCTGCTTTAACTGTAGCTTGTCCATAACCATGGCCTCTCATAAACATGGGGTTTCTTTGTGCTGCTGTTACCTGGTATGTTTAAGTAATGAAACAGCTGGTGCATTTCAGTAGACAAAGGCTTACAGTATGTCTGAGGCGAGGCATTTATTGCTGGGCTTTCAACTTCCTAAACAATTCCATATGGGGACCTGAGTGGCAGAGCCCTTAATGTAAACTTTGAAAGGAAACTGCCCACCAAATTCTGAGCTTTATGAAAGTTGGCTGAAGCATATTCCTTTGCAGAAGGCAGGGCAGCCATTCCCATTTCAAAGAGGAAAGGCCACAGCCTGTTTCTGGTTGACCAGGAAGAAATAGAGAACCCCATTTTAGGTATTTATTGGTTTTGGAGGAATACCAAAAGCCATTTATAGAAGCAGGTAGGTTTGGTGAATGGAATTCAGAGTTAGGAGTCAAACTATCAGTTTTCTACTTGACAATATCTTTACCTTAAGTCAAATAAAAACACCAGCACATCTGCATGGCACAATGCTGGGTGTCTGGTATTTGCTTCCTTGTTTTCACATGTGGAATGAACAAAAAGTTGGCATTCTGTCCCACAAAATTTATGGGCTGTGAGAATATGAGAACATTTTTTAAAAGAGACATATTTTCACAGATATAGAAATTAAACATATAATTTTAAATATATAATGTATGCCATATACAAAAATTATACATGTATAGTCAAAAATAGATATAATACTCAAGAAAAGTAGTTATTCTAGATAAGTAAAACAAATGTCTGGTAGAAACAAAAATTTACATTTCAGAGGTAACTATAATTTCATAAGAATTCAACAGCACACGACACTATTGACACTGCTACCTCCTCCACATTCTTATCAATCTCTGCTTCAAAGTTTGACTTTGGAGGCCAGATCTTAATTTAAGTCTCCTTTCTCATGACTCTTCTGTGAGGTCTCTCTCAAGACGACTAGCAGAGCTTTACTGTCAAGGACAATATTCTGGAGGTGGGGTGTTAGCTATTTCGTTAAAGAAAACAACAACAGTGTGGAGGAAAATTACTCCTACATTTCTTCGTATGTGTGGGTATGTGGTGTGTGTTTTTCTTGAGAAGGCAAAAGTAGGATAGATTTGCAGTAGGATTTTTTTCCCTTTTAACTAATTTGTGTCAGGCTGCTCCAAACAGCTATAGACAGGAAGTGCTATTTCCTGTGCTGATGATTTAATATAGCGAAGGGCAAAGCAGTGTGTTTGAACTGATGGCAGTACTAATGACTCTTGGTAAAACAGTGAAAAGATAAATGAGCCTTAATCAGGCAAATGTTTAAATAAGCAAGTGCCTGCATATACCACAGCAAAACAACCTGAATTCATTTAAGCAAAGTTAAGAGGGTAATTTTAAAAATACACAGACTATTTGTTTAGTGCTTTAGATTTTTCTAAATGGCTTTCAGCCACATTTATTATATTATCTGACAGTTCCCTGAGGTACCTCGGTGTTCTGACTAAAATTGTAGAGGTGACTCACTTCAGCTCAGAGGGGTTAAAAGATTTGCTTCACACACAGCAGGCCACTGGTCAAGAATAACAATATAATTCCTAGTTCCCACATTTCCAATTTATTCCTTACCTGTACTCAGACTTCATAGAATCCTGTTAACCTTGCTCGAATACATGAAATGTATATGAAAATGATTTCTTACTGGCAATGCTCATAATATATCAGTGGCTTAAATAAAACAATGTCCTTAGACAATAACTGGGAAAATTTGGTGATATTTCACTTGTGAAGATTCAGAAAGCCTGTCATAAAACACCTCATTATAGCCTTCTTATCTAAAAGATAATTTCTCTAATAACTTGTAGTATTATTTGAACTTTGAAAAGCTAACTACCAAAACAACCAAACCAGACCACTTAATTTAAGTACCACATCCTGAGGGCTTCAGATAACCAAAAAAGGTGAAATTCTGGATAATATAAATCTATCCATTGCTAGTATAGCAGGATCCATTGCTTGTATAGCAGTACGAGTTAAGCTGATATGGAATTTGTCCCTCCCCAGGTAAAAACCGTTCTCCCTTTGTATTACTGTTCAGTTCTCAAAGAACCAGGATGTCTTGAGATTTGTGGTTATATCATCTTAAAAACAAGCCTGACTTTGTATTCAAGGGAAGAAGGTAAGATGCCCTTTTTCAAATTAAAATAGCATTTCAAAATTTATACATGATGAAAATCATATTAATAGATAGTGTATATATGTGTGTATGTGTAGGATAAAGTATATCTTTTGCCTTTAATGTCAAGGTCTAGGAGCCAGGACATCTGATTTAGTTAGTTTTGCAATTAACTTATACCATGGCCATGAATATAGTATTTTTGCTCTGCTTTATTGTCAGCAAATTCATACCCTTCTAGAAATTCAATGAGGAACACCTCAATACTTTAGAAAGTCTCGCTTTCTCTCCTAAATTCTTTTTCATTGATCAGTCACTTAACACTTGTAAAGGAAAAATTATAAACCCAAGTATTTCAGTTATTCAGTTATCACAATGACAGTCAAGCAAATGTGCTCAATTTCCATACTCAGATGGGTTAGAAGTTAAAGGAGAGAGTTTGTAATCACTTACATTATTGATCATAAGGTGCATTATTGTTTTTGGAATTAAATCTCGGATGCATTTGTTGATAATTGACATGTAGGAGTCCACGAGGTTGCGAATGGTCTCCACTTGCCTCTCCAATTGTGGGTCCATGGAAAAATTTTCTGTTTGGCCATTCTCATCATTTTCAGTCTAACAGGAAGGAAACAAAATAAAACATGGATTATCTCATATTTGCTCAGAAGAAAAAAATACCAGACATCAATCAACCTTTGCTTATCATACTTTGAGTTAATACCATTATATGGTAACATCTTCATCTTATCATTCATCAATTAATTCTGAAAAGAGATCAGGATACTGCAGTTACTGTTCTACTTTTAGCCTGCCATGTTCTAGAAAAGGGAAGTATTCTATGTTTGAATGAGTGTTGAAACGAGCAACCAAACAACAATGTACCTAACAATGTACCTCTAGAGAACAATCACCTTAAGCTATTTGCAAGCTGGCCAAAGAACTGAATCCAAACACATGAGGCAGATGTAAACCTCTGGGAGGAGTCTCCAGGGATTCCATAGATTAGAAATAACCTTGATGTTATTCTGGCACTTCTAGGACTGCTCTGGATTGGATCAGCCCAGATTCAAAACTAAATCTCTGAGGACTGGCCTGGAGCCAAAATAAGAGATACAGAAGATAATTCATTCTTCCATGCATTTGCTGGAATTTGTTATGTAAATTCATGCTTCTGTCATCACTACTAAAGGCTGGCTTCATTGTGAAAAACTTACCATTTCAGCTTCCAACTTGTTATTCTTTGAATAAAACAGAGCACATCTATACACAAAGAATTTACTTGTGCAATATCAGGGACGCATCTGTTTTCTATATCATAGGACTTGCATTAATTAATTTTGGCTTATACATAAGAGGCTGGGCTGGAATGGCATCTTCATCATTAAGGGCTGACCTATTGGCTTGGCACTGAAACCAATTTAGAACAAATGGTCTCCATTTAAAGTCAAGTTGAAGCATCTAAGCCCCAAAACATGATACAGATATTTAGTGGTTTGGCTACCTTCTAGTATTTGGAAAGGTTTAATTATGAATGTAAAAAGAAATAATTTATTGTTTCCAATGTGGACATGAAGTACCTTTCTTTGGAAACATACATACTTTGATCTGCCAGGTTTTCAATCATCCAATCAGTTCTAGGCAAAGCACTGTGCTAAACAGCTTTGCTGTCTATAAATGACAAGTCTTTCCTTTGAATTAATATGCATATGTGAAAGGCACATTTATAGGTCACAAAACCAAAACTAACACAAATAGAAATTCACAATATTTCCATAGGTTTCTTTCAGAAATATCTAATGCTCAACAATATATGTTCACTGTAAAAATTAACTGTCATATTCCAGTCCTGACAGCATGACACGAAGCTGCAAGGTTAATAGTATTAGGACATATCTGAGACATCTCACTGTTACAACAGCAAAGTAGAAAGAAAATTGGAAAATTTAAAATAGTAGTTGGTCTTTGATGGCTAAAGTAATTCTTATGTAACTTTTTAGATTTGTTATTAATTTGTGATATAGATGCAATAGGACCTGGTATAAATAAGCAAAAATTAAGACAAAAAATGGTAAAATAATAGTTTACCCATGAAAAAAATCCAACCATGTTCCCAAACTATTTTTTTTTTGGTACCAGGGATTGAACTCGGGTCCTTCTGCTTGCGAGGCAGGCCGCAGAACCACTGAATAGTTGGCCCCCAACTATTTTGATAATAAAGCAGACAGGGGGCCAGGGAGTTAGCTCAGTGGTTCTGCCGCCTGCCTCGCAAGCACAAGGACCCCAGTTCAATCCCCGGTACCAAAAAAAAAAAAAAGCAGACAGGAGAGGGTGTCACAGAATTCAGAATGCAAATTTGATTTCTGATTTTAGAAAGAAGCAATAATGTCAAATATGAATAAGATAAATGTGAAAATTTATATAGATGAAAATTTTCTTTTAACTGAGTAACAGGAGAGTCCAAAAGCTCACTTTTCTCTAAGCCCAGCTCTAACCAAATTCTCTGTCATGCTCTTTTCTGAATGTATGCTGTGCATAACTATATTTTTTCTTTGTTTAAATTATAGGATTGCAATAAGATTCTTTGCAAAGCACTGAAGTGACAGCTGTTTATCATTATCCTCATCAAGGGAATGTAAAATAAAAATAGTAATTTGTCTCTGATCTTTGAGGCAAAAAAAGAATGGCCTGCAAACATTTAACCTTTTATGTGCAGGTTCATTGAAGCTGTTTACAAAATGTGAATAATATTGTAAAACTGAGCTTTCTTCTGAAAAATACAATAGGCAGGCCTTGCTGAAAAGCTTCTCTAAGTAGCTTTTGAGAAATCTAATTCAATTTAAGCAATTACAAAACAATGGTGTAGATGTGGAACACTAAAATTTGTTTATAAGAATTATAACTCTTAAGTTATTTAAGAAATAGACCATTTTAGAAATTTTTAAGAGTTTTTCTCTTAAAGGTCTACAGTAATAGGTAAGGGAATGAAAAGTGTTGCATGAGAAATACTTTTCACTAAATCTTGAAGCATTCATCATAGAAGATCTGGGCCTGACCTGACTGAAATACCTCTTGTCTCTTCCCTTAATAAGAAATATTTCTTAATTATATAATAGGCTTATTTGAGGACCCCTGGAACCATTTAAATAAAGCTGCTGACTCCAACTCTTTAACTCTGGAATAATGGAAACAAAGCATCTTTCCAATATGAGCGTAACAATACTACAGAGCCAATGGGGGATTTTCTGGGTCTCCTCTCTCTAATGGAGAGCACTAGACAATCATTTACACAGCTACACGAGGATTTTTCTTGGTAATCAATTCCTATCCCCTTTTATATATTATTATTACATAATTGTCTGCCTTAAAGAATAAAAACATCATTTGATTTCTTCTTAGTGAATCTAGTCATCATTATGAAAACACTGTTACCATGGTAGTGCACTTTCAAATTTTCCAGGCCCGAATTACTGAGAATGTTTTCACTGAAAACCACTCCCCACTCCCAATCATTTGCTTATGGTTTGTTGAGGCTAGAAGGTAAGCAACTAAATGTGCAAACAATTACATGATAGGGATGCCTCAGAAAGCCTTTGAGGGTATTCTAGGTTGTCATCTGGCACTTTGTGACAGGTATTTTATTGATGGATTCAAATAGTGTCCAATGTAGACCGTGAAAGATGCAAAAGAACTCTAAAAAATAAAGGCCTTGCTTGTGAGCTCATTAAACAGGAAGGACACAAAGGGAGTGGAGTTAGTGAGTCCAAAGATGCACTAAACAAGCTCAGTGCCTTGTAGACCACCGGGAGACTTTATAGATGGAAGCACTTGAACAGCCTCATAGAAGCTGAGTGGATTTCAAAAATAAAGATGGATACTGAGGAAACATGCTCTTTATTTTTCTTTTTATTACTTACCATAGAAGCTTAAGAAGTATTGTGGGATAAATAAAACCTCAATACATGCCACTTCTGAAGGCCTGGGTTTTTGTTACTAAAGGGAGCAAAGAGATGGTGGTCCAGATGTGAGGTGATGTTACAGGGAAATGTGGCACTTGCTGGGGTTTCTAGAACTAAGTTCTCCATGTGGAGCCTCTTTTTTTGCCTGGGTAGGATAAGTACCTGCATTCAGTATTGCATTTGGATTGATAAAAAGATCTTGATGGGGCCAGGGATTTAGCTCAGTGGCACTGCGCCTGCCTCTCAAGTGCAAGGTCCTGAGTTCGATCCTCAGTACAAAAAAAAAAAAAAAGATCTTGATGACTATGAGGTGCGAAAGGTTTGTACTGTGATTACAGTCAAATGCTGGGCAGTAAATGGGAGATGTCTTTGCAAGAAACATCCATAAAATAGAAGAAATCACTGCACCTAATCTGAGCCAGGTTATCCCATGGATTAACAATGGATTAAATGAAAAGGCTGGGTGAAACTTCTTTGTTTCTGTTTTTGTTTTTGGTACTGGAGATTGAACTGCAGCACTTGTGAGGCAGGCTGCAGCACCACTGAGCTAAATTCCTGCACCCACCCCCCCGCCCTTTTTTTGTGGAGTTTGAATAAGTAAACTGCCCTCCAGAATGTGGATGGGCCTCACTCAATCAGTTGAAGGCAAGAACAGAACAAAAAGACCAGCTTTCCCTGAGCAAGATAATTCTCCAGTAGTGGATTGTCCTCTGTCTTCCTTTGAAGGACCAACTTTTCCTAGTCTACAACATCCTGCTTTTGGACTTTAACTGGAAAACGGGCTTTCCTGAGTCTCCAATCTGATGGCCCACCTTTCAGATTCTGGAGTTGCTAACCTCTGTAATTATAAGTCAATCCCTTATATTAAATCTTGTTTGACATATACACTCATGTGTTGGTCTGTTTCTCTGGAGAATACTCACTAATACACAGTTCCACTCTAGATAGTAAAACAGTAGGTAATTTAAGCTTCTTTTGCTTTCTTTATTCCTTTTCTGCCACTATAACAGAATACAACAGACTGGGAAATATATAAGGAAAAGATATTTATTTCTCCCAGTTCTGGATGTGGGGAAGTTCAAGATTACAGGGCTGCATGTATCTTGCGAGGGCCTTCTTGCTGCTTCACACCATGATAAGGAACTCCGCTCTCCTAGTCTGAATTTATTTTCTTCCAACTCCCCCATTTGTCTTTCATGGTTTACTATGAATGTAACACACATTTGAATGCTACACCTAAGATTCAGCAGCTTCAACATGCTCTTTAGATTTTGATTCTTTGTTTTGTATCACAGGTATGTAAATATTTACTTCCTCCCTGAAACTGAAAAGTTGTTTTGTTTTGGGCAAAGATCATAATGGTTGGTGGTAAAAAAAAAAAAAAAGTCGCTTAATCAATAAGTGGTTCTGTACCAGGTATTCTGGTTCTAGAATGTACACTTTTACCTCCCCTCCATTCTTCATTAGATCACAATAAGAAATGACCTACAAAAGCTGTGAAATGAAGCAAGTGTTTCCAAATGCTATCAAGTGGTTTCATTTGTATGGAGATAAACTTGGAGACCAGAGAGAAAAGTGACCAAGCTCACATGTGTAATCCATGCTTTAGGAATTCTACTCTCCTTATCTAAAAATGCATAGCTGTAGGGAAGTTTTGCA